TATGCTCCCTTGTGCGTGTGGGAATGCTCTTACTTTCAGTATTAAACATAGCCCTGAGTTCTACTCTTGTTTTTTTTCGATTTGATCTCACCACACATTTAAGCGATCGCCGATCACGATCATTCAGGATTTTTTTCCGGCCACATTTCTTCCTTGAAGATGATGGGTCCCCACTATCCTTCCAGTTTTTATTAATGCGTTGGACAGTTCTTAACCCAATTTCAGAAGTTTCTGCATCTCTTTAGATGTTTTCTCTGCTTGATGCATGCCATTGACTTGACCCTTCTAAAACAGACTAGCATCTTTTCCTCGACATGGTTGTTTAGGAAATGAGAAGCAAGTCATTGCACCAGTTGGGGTTAAATAACTTGTTGCCCATGCAGTAATTATCCAATAGGAGGCTCATACCTATTTGCTTAGTTGAATCCAGGTGGCGACTTTTTTTTTGGCCAGGCAGTGTATATTTATGTCAAGCTAATGTTTTTTACTTCTAAGTAAAATCCACATTGAGTCTTAATTTTCTCAAAAAGATTAGATAAATCAGACCCCTTGCATAAGTTTATTTGATATTATGTACTTCCACAACTGGACAGTGGTTCAGTGGGTAAAGCTGTTGCCTTGAAGCAAGAAGGTTCTGAGTTTGTTTCCTGACCCGGGGTCTGTCTGCATGCGTTGGTTCTCTCTGGGTACTCCGATTTCCTCCCAGTCAAAAAACATGACTGTTAGGTTAATCGGCTTCTCTAAACTCTCCTTAGGAATATGTGTGAATGGTTGTTTTTCTCTGTGTTGCCCTGCCATAGACTGGTGACCTGTCCAGGGTGTACCCATCCTCTCGCCAGTAGAAAGCTGGAGATAGGCACCAGCACCTCTTGTAAACCCAGCAGGCATAAGTGTGACTAAAAATGGATGGATAAATGAATTTATTTCCACATTTATGTAAACTGTACATGTTTAACACCTTATCACCAGAACAAATTCTGTATACTTAAGAAAACCTAAAACTTAGGAAGAAAGCTGAAATAGCTAATTCTAAAGCAATATGCATTGCATATTAAAAGCCACAGAGTTTAACCATTTTTTTTGTTTGTTTTGGGTGAAATAAGAAATAGCCTTAATAATTGAATGATCAGTAGATGGGTGCGTTACTATAGCATAAAACATTTCACTTTGTGCCAGGCAATCTAAGCCTTTCTTGCAAGTATCTATGAAAAATGATATTGCTGTAGGACTTGTTGTGCCCTTTGGCCTGCACCATGTAAGCCATTTATTTTCAAAGAGATCACCTTCTGTTTTCCTCTGCTGTCACACTGGGAGGAAATTATTTAGCAGAGACAGTCAACAGTGACAGCAACAGTGTTCAGGAGAGGACATATTCCCTGGAAACCTGAACAGCTTGTGTTTTTTTTTTTTTTTTTTTTTTTTTTTTTTGAGGACTGGAGCGTAAAACCCATTTGCCAATAAAAGAAAGTTATTTTTAAATTCTGAGGCTGTTGACTAAGTATTGTAGAGACTTTGTAAGAAAAATCTTTTCTCCCTCCCCAAATGATTCAGCGTTGAACACTCAAACTGGATGTTAACAGAGTAGTTCAGAGTAAAAAAAAATGTTTTAGACATTTACATGACCTTTCTCTCCAGGAATTGCATTGTATGTATGTTTTTGAGGTCAGTGGCCATGGATCATTTCCATTCCAGATATGTTTAAACAAAGCAATGCCAGTCCCCCCAGGTGTTCCAGATAAATGATGCATAAAATAACAAAATTATGCAGGCTGACCTATGACAATGAAAAATGAAAGGCACTAACCATCCATCCGAGGAGAGTGTTTTGTTTTTTATTCCAAATTTGCATGTTTCCATTGTGTTTTGGAAATATTATCATCTCAAAATGTGGACAAATATAAGGTCAAAACTTGAGGTGAAGGCTAGTTTTGGCTTCTATGTTTAAACAGTAAAGCTATTTTAAACATTAATCCACCTTAGAGAGCATTTAGACAAGCTGTCTCACTGTGTGGTGTCGAGGCTGCAGTGCCTCAGACTGAAAGAAGGGGAGAAGAGAGGTGAGAACAGCAGGGAGGATCATCTGGGCTCCACTCCTCTGCATAAAAGACATTTCATCCCAGTGCTGTGTGTCCCAAGCCCATAACATCATCAGTGACCCCTCTTACCCCCACCATGGACTGCTATCCCTGCTTCTCTCTGGGAAGAGGCTTCACAGCATTCGATGCAGGTCCAGAAGATTCTGCAACAGCTTCTTCCTCACTGTAATCAGACTGCTAAACTGTGGGAAAAAAACTCTAAATCAAGTCACAGACTCTGCATCACACTGATAATACCAAACCAAAATTCTACATATTTGCACCATGTAGTATATTTGTCTTGAAATTATCTGAACTTCCATATCAATGCATTTTTGCACCATGTTTTTTTTCTTCCACACTTTACATTTGATCACTGCTGCACTTTATGAAATGGAAATGTTCATTTCACTGCTAAGCTGCTGCTCAATTACTGTCTGAAAGCTGTACAAAATGAAATTTCCTTTTTGTATACACTCTGTATATAGAAAATGACAATAAAAGTTGTTTAAAAGTCTTATACTCCATTTACACTAGCCTCTGACAATCACACTGTGCTGAGTCTGGACCGACCCTGGATCAGTTAACCGCGCCCAGCTTGGCTCCTTACGACCGATTACACATCACTCTAGCACGGTTCCTCACCTCCTATCACTGATCTATGGTACTACTGCTCTCTAAAGGTAAACAAGCAAACCAACATGGCGGTGCCCAAAACAATAAGGAGTTATGTTTTGTTATCATTGTGATATTTCATTGTTTGCGGAGGGTCAGGCAAAGAGGGCAGCCTTTGGTGAATTTTCATGACAGAGTCTGCTTTTGAAAAGTGGATACGACAAACAAAAGTCTAATCAGGTCTTACAGACGCAGGAAACAACGGCAGACGTTGAGTTTCATCACACTGCTAGACAGAATCATCACTGAAAATCGTGTGGCAAGATAGGGAAGCTTGTATTTTTATGAATGTCTGAAATTTCATGATTACGGAGGCTGACTGTAAGGAAATGACGCGGACTGCTCATGCGCTCTTTGTTATCTGAGAACTGAGCCAGAAATGAACTGTGCCAAGACCTACTAATGAACTAATGACAGCACGGTTCAGTTGTGTCTGGAGCGGTCAAAGGACTTTTTTCATTAGGTCCACAGGACTTAATGACTTTAGACCCTTCGCCTTGACCTCTGTGGTTATGAAGTCCTTTAAGTGACCTTGCATTTTCACACCTGAAAGAGATCACTAACCCCCTCCTGGACCCCCTACAGTTTGACTAGAGAGCCAACAGGTCTGCAGACAATGCTGTCAACTTGGCCCCTCACTGCATCCTCCAGCACCTGTATTGCACAGGTACATATGCCAGGATCCTGTTTGTGGATTTCAGCTCTGCCTTCAGTACAATCCTCCCAGCTCTGCTTTAGGAGAAGCTCGAGTGTTCCTGACTCCCCAAGCAGGTGGATTAGAGACTACTTGTCTGACAGGAAGCAGCACGTCAAGCTGGGAAAACATGTCTCTGACTCACAGCTCATCAGCACTGGAACCCCCCAGGGCTGTGTTCTTTCTCCTCTGCTCTTTTCCCTGTACACCAACAGCTGCACCTCCAGCCATCAGTCTGTCAAGCTTCTGAAGTTCGCAGACAATACCAACCTCATCGGACTTGTCTCTAATGGTGAAAAGTCCGCCTAAAGGTGTGAGGTTGACCATCTGGCAACCTGGTGCAGGGAGAACAACCCGGAGCTCAACGCTCTGAAAAACAGTTTAGATGGTTGTGGACTTCAGGAGGAACTCAGCCCCACCCATTCCCATCACCCTCTGTGACTCCACTATTGACACAGTGGAGTCTTTCTGCTTACTGGGAATAATCATCTCACAGGACCTAAAGTGAGAGATGAACATCAACTCACTCACCAAGAAAGTTCAGCAGAGGATATACCTCTGCAGCAGCTGAAAAAATTCAACCTGCCAAGGACAATTTTGGTGCACTTCTACTCCATCAGGGAGTCCTCACCTCCTCCATCACAATCTGGTATGCTGGTGCCACCGCCAAGGACAAGGGCAGACTGCAGCGTGTCATCCTGTCTTCAAAAAATACGATTGGCTGCAATCTTCCATCTCTCCGAATCTGTACACCTCCAGGACTCTGAGACATGCAGGGAAGATTGCGGCTGATCCATTCCACCCCAGCCACAAACTATTTCAGTCACTTCCCTCTCGCAGGAGGCTGCGGGTCATCAGGACTAAAACCTCACGCCACAAGCACAGTCTCTTCCCATCCTCTACCAGCCTGGAGATGCTACGTTACACCAACTTAGCATCTCCAGATCTCCTGCTATATATTAACGCACAGTCTACTGTTATATATAGTATATGGCTATATTGTATGTTTTATATTGTATATAGCTATAAATTGTAGATTTTAGATTCTGTATATATAATTTGTCTGGACCATCAACACCAAGTAAAATACCTTGTTAGTGCAAACCTACTTGGCAATAAACTTGATTCTGATTCATTAAGATGCTAATCTGCTTATGTTTTTTGTAAAATGGAGTAAGACAACCACAAGTAAATGCTTTGCTATGCAATAAAAATTTATTACAAAAGTATGTTTTTAAACCAAATCTAACTGAATATTGGCACCAGATACTAATATTTATTAGGTTAACTTTCTGCTTAACATAAATCAACAAAGTACATTGTGTATCATTCATACAAACAAAAGGACACTCATTTAGCACCGTTCAACTTCAAGAATCACAAACCCATGAATAATTATATAACAATAACACCATGTCAATAAGTAAATGTAAAAAAAGCATAGATAGAAACATCAATTTCATAAAACACAATTTAACTGAGATACAGCATGTTTTGCAACAACAATAAGCCATAAAAATGATACCATGGGGAAATAAATTCAACATGCCAGTAAATGTTTTCTCACATCATATTTATTCATTTTCATCTTACTTCAATCTCCTTGGAATCTAGACTGACATGGTGGGAAATGACTTAAGAAATGTTTGGCAGTCAAAAGATGCATTTGCTACAATTTGACCCTGTTGGGATCAGTTGCTGAAACAGAAATCTTCCACATTATTGAGTTTGATCGTTTGTAGCTCCTGGCTGTCCAGAAGCCTGTAGCTGAAGGACACACGACTGACAAACCTCCCGCTGGACACCATCCTCACCACTGTGTTTTCGCAGGCAATTTTCATGTGGGCTACACAGGAAGTGAGGAAGAAAAAGTACATATCAGGTCTTGATGAGGTCAATCACATGCCTACAATGAGGGGGATAGGAAGAATTTTCTTACTGGGTCCAGTGAAGGTGATGCAGAGGTCTGTGATGGGAAGCAGCTTAGATGTGTCAATACCACTTCCTCCCAACAACTGCACGTAATCCTCAGACTCTGCACAACCAGGTAAGGATCCCTATGGACAGTAGCACATATATTTGAACATTTTAGAACAAGTTAATTTATTTTTTTAAAGTAACTTATCGTTACCAGAAGGGAATCATTTTGGTATCAGAACCAAGAACAATCCTTTTATCCCTTTCAAGCCGACTTATGCATTATACTTGTTATTTCCTAATCCTCATATCTCTAATAAAATCTATTTCAAAAACACACAGCATTTGGTTTGAGTTTGTTTAATTGTAGTTATAAATTTCCATGAAATATGACTATAAATTGTCACAATGCAACCATAATTTTGATCATATATATAGGTATTACAGCCCATTTTTGTTTTATTTGGTTTTAATGAGATTTGGAACATTTGTGTTTCAGTGAATAAGAGTTTATGACCCTTTACTAAGGTAAAGCCCCCTTACCATCACCCTGATGTCTACCTCCTTCACAGATTTTCTATTAGATTAAAGTAAAGAGCCCCAAATCATTATTATTATTCCCAGGAATAAAGTCAGGGATAAAATACTTGGGCTTAAGTCCATATAAATGCACATCCAGAGCATAGGAATAGAGAAAGTAGCAGAGAAAGTGACAGAGTGATCCGTCTGGAACGCAGATGTAGTGCAGCTCCACCTGCTGCCAGCTGACTGGAAGAAGGCCACCACATGTAACATTTGCTTAGAGGAAAAAAAGGACATTTGGCTCTAATTCTGCTGCTGTGTGGCAGATAAGGGGCATTATTTTTATGTACCAGAAATAACATGTATAATTCCTTCCTGAATACAGATATATCAATTTGACATTGATAATAAAGGCTAAATAGAAGGCATCCATAACTGACAGTTGACCTTTCATATATGAAAATGTTTGGAGGGAAAATGGTTTCCCATGCAGTGGAGAAAACAAACATTTGATATACAGTTGATTTTGCAGTTTTTCAGGTCGCAAAGAATGTAGAAGCCTTATATTTGTATCATAGGCATTTTTTAATCCTTCTTTTCAAAAATATTTGCTTGCCTATCACCTAGTAAGGTTTCCAGCTTTCACATGCTTTTTAGTTATTTTCTAAGAAATCTTATTGCTCTCTACGCATTACTGTACTTGAATTAACTGCACCTATTTTAAACCATCTGTATGAAAATACACTTGTCCACTCAAGGGAGAATGGCAGCAGCATCTTGTTGTACCTAATGGGGATCCACAAGAAAATACAAATACACTCAGCTAGACAATCTCCAGCCTCTCCACAAACAACATAATGATGGGATTGGCTGCAAAAAAGTAGGAAAGCAGCTTATTCAGGGTTTATACAGGAATGAGCAACTTTATTTTAATGCTTTTTAATGCTCATCTAATGCTCTTAAAAATAATTTTAATGCAACAAGTACCCATGACTCTCATGTATACACAGCAAATTCCCTCTTCATCTTTACTGTTGGCTGGCTACAATTCCAAGATTTCCAGCCACTTTTGCTGAAATTAGCATTTTCCCCATTCTACAGCTTTTTCTCCGCTTTGAGATTCTTTACCGAACATACGGCTTGACGATCAGCCGGAAGCAGTTCCGTGCAAATATATTGTGATATATTTGCATTTTTGCAAATATATATATACCACTGAATAAATTGTTTGTATAAACATTTTTTTTAATAAACCATTTTAAATGGCAAAATAATCACATTTAATTAACTTGAATGCCAATTTAGGCCTTCATTTAAAAAATAATTATTTAACGACTTTTAATGATTTTTAATGACCCGCGGAAACCCTGTTTTTGAAAAGACAGCTGTTGGTGCAAATATAAGAAAATAGAAGAAGTTTAACATGATGGCCAGTCTCCTTAAGTCTGGGGCTCAATGCAAGATCTCAACTGGGCATCATTGATCATGAGGAAGGTGGTGGATAAGTCCAGAGCTGGGAGTACAATCTCCAATAAGACCACTTCTAACATACTATCCTGCTATTGATTAAAATCCTGTATTGCATACAAAGACCCTGTGCTCAAGCAAGTGCATATCCAGGCTGGTCTGAAGTTGGCCAAAGACCACCTGGATAATCTAGAGGAGAAATGGGAAAAGGTCATGTGGCCCGATTAGACAAAAAGAGAAGTTTTTGGATTAAATTAAACTCGCCATATATGAGTAAAAGTCCAAGAAACAGCATCCCAGCTTTAAAGCATGGAGGTGGAACCATGATTCTTTGAGGGTTCTAGGCTGCAAAGGAGACAGGACGACTGCAATGCAGAGAGGACGATAGGGCCATTTACTGGAAGAATTTTGCTAACAACCTCCTTGCGAAAAAAAAGAAAAAAAGAAATCCCACTTACCAGAAAGGCATACACATTTTCAGCCCCCGCCCCACTTGGCTTTCAAATGTAATCAAAATAGATGCAAAAAAATACACCCTAAGCTGGAGGTCTTCAACATTTAGCTATAAATGAACATGTTTCATAAAATATTAACAATATTTTACTTTTTTATATATTATACTGTTAAAAAAAATCCCTTGAAAATAAATTAAAATATTGTTATAACTGAGACTCTGTTAAAAGATTATAAGGGTTTAGTAAACTAAATTACAGGTTAATTCATTGGTTTTCTTGAAACTAAACCTTTGTATTATAAGACATTTTTTGATTGGGTGGAAACTTACAGAGAATAGGTGATTATTCACATGGAAAGTTGAGGTTGAAGGCTGTTCACCACCAGTGAGCTTCCTCTGGGAAACACAAAATACAACATGTAAAGTCCGTCATACCAAATCAACTGCCTTAAAACAACATAATGAAAACACTAAAATTTTCGCTCCTAAAAATCACTTAACTGTAAAGGCTGGCAGCTACTCAAATCTTACATGTGTTCTTTCAACAAAGGAAGACTATTGGCAATGCAATGTCTCCAAACACCATTTTGCATCTTTAGTTTCTAAGTAAATAACCAGACAATGCAGATGTCAATTCATGTGTTTAAAGTAAATCAAAAAGGTTTACATAAACCTCAAAACATGTTCTGGAATAAACATCTCTTAAAAGCATAAACATATGACTTTATACTAAAAACAGAAACTAAGACATTAATGTAATTAAAGCAGAGTTATAAGCTGTTAATCAGTAGAACAAGGTTAGCATGACTGAATAAACGCTATCAGAACAAGCAGCTACCCAAACGGTAAGAGAGGAGTGGCTTAACCACTGCCTTTTTAAAGGACATATGGGGTTTGATCATCAGAGCTGTTTGCTGAGCCCTCTTTACCCTGGTCTCAAAGGGCTTTACCTGCCTACACTCTAACAGCATGATATGCTGAATGATTTTGCCAAAAATCTAAATTTTGATATTTTTTAACCAATGCTGTGATTTTATGTAGATGTTTGACTCTACGGTCTCACTGTCTCGCAGGTCTTTACTGCTTTGTGGAAAAGCACTTCTTTCTACTTGCATGCATGGATGTGCATCCTAGCTGCAACTCTCTCTATAAGCTTATTGTGCCCGAATGTCCGCCATCCCTCAATCACTATATAGAGGGGACTATATAGTAGACTTTATAGCAAACTCAATTAACTGACCGTTCAGACAGATGATCTTTACTTTTCGCTCCCCGTTGGTCACGTAACACCTCCACTGCGCGGTGCATGTGCCATCTTTGTTTTTAGTTGCCACTGTCGGCTAGTGACAACCTATGGTTACAGCAGGCCGCTGTGACAGCAAATCCCATAATGCTTTGCGAGGAGAGCTCTCCGTGCAAAGCATTACGGGATATCTGCCTCTTTGATCATTTCTTTTCTTCTCATACACTTCATAGACACTTTTTCTCTTATGACCATCGGCCATTTTCAAAGAACTGCGGTGAGAAAGGTGAGCTTCAATGATTCTCTTCGCAGAAAAAGATAGCTAACTGGACGAGCACGTAGGACGGCCTCATGTAAACTTATCACCAGAATGATTGACAATTAGGAGGACCACTTATTTAGATGATCCACTCGGAAATAAAAGCTTGTCCTCTATACCTTTAACTGCCCAGCCATAACCAAAACGCTTGTTTTTTTTTCTTTCTTAAAACTCAGGAAAAATCTTCTCAGAAAGTAGACCGGCTTATTAACCTTTATAGAAGTACTATTATGTACATTGTCCTTTAGTGCTGCACTTTTTGGTATGGGACCTTTATGGAGAGAGAGTTAGAGCCTTACACAGGCAAAAACAGACAAAAAATTTAACTGTGGTTACACTGCGTCCATCAACAATGTATGCTGATTGGTTGCAGCGTAAAGGAAGGACTATCTTTATAAAGTTCACTGTTGGTCCCACTGCTATATAAGGGAAATGCTGTACTTGAAGAAAAGCCACAAGCTATTTCTTTCTTTTTTTTCCCCCTAGAGCGTAAAAAAATGGAGTTATAGTAGTGAACTACATAGTACAAGGGTAACTGTGCCATAATGCTATTATGCTGGTTATTTTCCTTAACCAGTGTAATGTTACGTTATTATAATGACAACAAGGTATTCTCCTTTTTTCATTGTCTGGTTAAGTTAATTACCCTTTCTTTTCGCCAAATGTTAAGGTACTTAACCTGAACTCAAATGCGCTGATTTTAATCATCCCAAAATCTGGACTTGACCTTCAAACTCTTAGAGTACGATTCAGGAGTTCTAATCCAACATCTCTGCATGATTTATGAATTTTCACCTTGGGGAAATTGTTGTGGTGTCCCAAGCTGAACTCTGAGATGTCGATGGCCACTGGATATATGATGGAGAAGCTGCAGTTTCTGTGCTGCTGGGGGATCACCATTGTGTAACTGCCCTCTGGTGACTGTGAAATAACATTACAGGCTGCAAGGGAAAGGGAAATGCCAATGACACATAACTGATTGACAGGTTTCAGAATTGAGACAAACAATGTGCACTAAAGAAATGCATTGCGTCTAAAGGTGGGCATATTTTATTTCTTCTTTGCTGCATCTTTTGTAAATCTTTGAATTTACCAGTGAGTTTCTCTGACTGAAACACTTTACTACTCACGAAAGGGATTGATGTGCTTCCTGACAGTCAGGGTGAAGCTGCTGCCAGCGCTGTGAATACGGAAGAAGACCATTGCAACGTTCTGGGAGGAGTGCACGCTTTTCCTCACTGATCCCGAGCTGCAGTAATCCACATAGCGCTCGTGTAGAGGCAGTGGATGATCCTGGGAGCTGGGGAACTTTTCACCCTTCATCACCCATCCATCAAACATCTGCATAAAACAATTTAACACACACCGAAAGAGGGAGAAAACTAAAAGCAATCCTGAGTAAAGCTTCACTACGAATGGGTATGATCTAGATACTGTGGAAAATCTGTAACATTATTGATTTTTATTTCAAATATCATTCTAAAATAAGACATTTATTGTTTCTTAAACATCTGTATGAATTACTTATCGGTCGTAGAATAAGGCATTAATATAAACTCTAACTATGAAGAAGTATTAAAGCAAACTTTTTAATTGCAAAGACTATTTTGACTTTTCACTCTGGGAATAGAAAAATTTGATAATCTGTTTAATTTGTCAAACCATCTCTGGTAACCAGCCTGTAGTGCGCTGCTATGAAGACATGCTGCCTGTCTGTTGTAGTTCTAATAAAAGACTGCATTACTTCAGCTTTTGCAGAATAGCTTTGGAGTATATGTGTTTTTAAGAGCGGATATATTTGCAAACAGGCTGATGCTTGCCAATTCAATTCAGTTTATTTATATAGCGCCAATTCATTTCAGTTGTCATCTAAGGCACTTTACAATTCAACAGCTTGCAAGCAATTGATAAGCTTTTAAACATTAAGGGTTTTTTTATTTTCAGTCAGTGTGCAGCAAATTGTAGAGGTTGAACAGCCTGTTTCCAATTTTAAATGATAAATAATAATATTAATAATAATATGATGCAGCTTTGTTCTTGCTTTAGATGTGTTTGGCATGAAGTAAGAATAAACCGGTTTAACCCAATGCTCATGCTTAAGGAGCTTTTCCAAAAGTGTTACTAATCTTAGCAAATTATCCATTTCCAGTGCTTAGTAGCAGAAAACCAAGAAAAACAAACATTTTCAACAAGCTTTCCATTATGCAATTATTATTTCTTTCCACAAAATAACAAAAGCGACTAGAAAGATGCACAAGTGGCTTTTAATGTACTTAATTTTAAATGCATCAAGGTGTCAACAGTGTGTTTTGGTGTAATAAATCTTCCTTCTTACTGTGATGAAGTCTCCTCCGCTGCAGTCGATGTCCACGCTGTCATACTCCACAGTGATGAGCTCAGTGGGCTCTGCCATGAAGAAAGCTGCACAGCTGAGCTGAGGGCTCTCTGCTGTGAAGGTGAACTGGCCCTCCATCGCCACCATGTCCAGGCAACCTGATGGTCCATTACATAGGATGCTCATTAAAATCAAACACAAGCAATACTGGAGCTCATTCACACAGATTTTAGACATAAAAAATACTTTAGAGATTTTATTTGTTTCTATTTAATCTTTAAAGTTAGTAAATATTTTAAATGTTTTGTAAAATAGGAGGAAATGGCTGCAACTTGTGTAATTCAATGCGTTATTTTTTTTTTCTTCTTTCTAAATAATTTCACATCCTTATTTATTAATCGAGCAAAACTTACGCAAAGGTCGGCGATACATTAACAGATCAGGTATTTCCATCCTGAGATCCGCGCTAATAAGCGAATAGAGTTCATCTTTTGAGATGTCGTTGTTCTGTAGGATAGAAAATAAATATTTGATTTCACTTATTTCTTTTTTATAATAATTATTATAGAATAATGAAGTTTTTGGGGTTTTTTTTAGAGTCGCTACTCTCACCTCAATGTACCTGCAGTCTCCCTTGAGGACGGACAGACACAGGAACAGAAAGAAGAGCTGCTCCCGGAAAGTGCGCTCCATAACGCGCAGTGAGGTTCACCTGGGCAGAGTCAGAGAGGTCTGGTCTGCTCTGCGGTCACCGCGGCTTTTTTATACCGTCCAATCCGCCACGGAGCCAGTCACAGGGGCCCGCAGTCACCCACCGCCTCCTCCCTTGACCAATTGCGTGGTTGTGACGAGGGCGAGATCAAGGCGAGCGTGAGGAGAGATAAGACGCAGAGGAAAAGATGCCCAGCTGATGCCAACTTGGAGTCAACGAGCAGATAGATCACGACTTATCATCCCAACCTGTCCTTGCTTCTTGCTGATTTTAGCACTCAATGTGCTTGAATTTTTTTTTTATCTAAAATCTTGCAAAACCAGAGATTTTATGATTAAGTTTATTTTGTTTTGCAGACTTTAGTGATGCTTTTGTGACTCTACCCAAACAATATGTTACTAATTCTTCATACCTCTGTGCCATTTCCTCATTTCTTTTTTTTTTCATGTTAAAACAAAATCATAATAATATTTCATTGATAAGTCTGAATTTGAATCAAGTTGGAGCAATGACACAGTAATATTTGTAAAAAAAAAAAAAATGAAGGAAAAGACTGCAAAGCTACCTACCTAGGCTACCTATTATAGCCTACTTCTTGTTAACATTAAGTGTAGGTCAGCAGGTTGTAAATACAGGGTCAATACATTTTCTCCAAAAAAAATTATTCTCATATAAACAGTTACTGATTTTTAGGTATAGAGGATGTTCTTTTACTTCCAGATGGATCATCAAAATAAGTGGTCCTCCTAATTGTCAATCATTCTGGTGACATGTTTACATAAGGCTGTCCATTAGCTATCTTTTTTTGCAGATGCTCCCTTTCAGGCATATATCTTAGGCTCGTAAGTTTAAAAGTTTCTACAAAGTGTATGAGATGAAGAGAAAGGCCACAGAAGAGCCAGATATATCCCAGAATGCTTTACGCAGAGAGCTCTTCCCGAAAAGCTGTTGCCATAGGCTGCCGCTACGCGACAGCGGCGGCAGTAACAAAGATGGCGCAGTAGTCCAACGGGGAAGTGACCATCTGTCCTTACGGTAAGTTGACTGAGTCTACTTTAAAGTCCCTGCTCTAAAAAGTGATTGAGGGATTTAGGGTTTAGGGCGACATTCGGACACATATGAGAAAAGCAACTTTTAAACAGAGCGTGCACAATGAGAAATGGACTTGTGCATGCTCTCGCATGGGGGGCAATTCTTTTAAAAAATTCGAGAAAAGCCGAAATGAGAAGAAAGCACACGAAATAATTACACAGATACAGACATTAGAGCAGAATATACATGCAAAATTTTTTTTTTTTTACATATTGTTCTTCTTTTTCCCTCCCCTCCTCTAAATGATTGCTTTCTCATCCAATGTAGTGCGAATAAAATGCTAAGTTTATTTTACATTCAGCTCCGGTCCTGTCACCCTAATTACTTATTCACCCCACCTGTGTAGCTCCGCCCCTTCTCATCAGTGCTCATGCTTACCGCCTGTTCCCCTGCCTATTTAACCAGACCTCAAACTAGTTACTGTTGCCAGATTATCCACAGCAATAGATGTCAAATGTTCTTTCTATTCCCGACTACCTGACCTTGCTTTTCCTCATGGATTCCATGCCGCCGTCTTCCCCTCGCCAGACCACCCTGAGCTCTCTGATATCTGGACACTGAGGTGGTTTTTACCCTCTGACTACTGATTCTCCCCTTCCCCTTGGATACCTCCTCCTTATTCAAACCTCTCTGCCCTGACCCTGTTTCTGTCATATGACCAACGACCTTTGTTTTTCCCCTGTGGACTCCAAGATGGAGAATCTGCGTCTAAGTGAGTTCCTGGTTGTCCCTGTTTCCCTTTCTGTTCTTGTGAGCAGCACACTCTTCATCAAAGCAGCTGCAAGACAGAACAGGCGTTTCCACTTTTGATTTTAAATACAGTTGTTAAATATGACACAGCCTGCCTTGGTGTCTTTTTGAATATTGGGTCCTCAGTCCAGATGTACATTTTATACTTGTGAACATTCCAAACATGATAGTACAACTACACATTTTTGACCTTGCAGCTCCAAAAGTGGACATTTTATTAGCCTACTGTCCACATCAATATATATATATATATATATATATATATATATATATATATATATATATATATATATATATATATATATATATATATATATATATATATATATATAATATTATATATATATATATATATAAATATATATATATATAATATTATATATAATTTTTTCTTCCAAGAATGGAAGAAAAGTCCTTAAAATTGAATATACTGTGTTGCTATTTTTGGGAGGCATTCTTTTTTTTTTTCTTCTTTTACTGTAAGGGAGCCTCCTTTTTTTTACTGAAAGTCTTTTTATTTTTTGTCTGGGTACAATATTATTAATCGATGGGACAATTCCATACAACTTTTTGGAGGAATTGTGCCTCTTTTAGGTCAAAAATATCAGATAAACAAAACATAAGACGCTATAGCACTAGCATCCCTATAGTATTTTCAATGAATATTAGCATCATGCTGTATTTTTTTATATAAATAATAACTTTATTGATCTCACACTGGAGAAATTTACCTCTGCATTTAACCCATCCCCTTGGGGAGCAGTGGGCTGCCACTGTGCGGAACCCAGGGAGCAGTGTGGGGTTAAGGTTTTTGCTCAGGAACCAGAAGTGGAGGCTGTGGGGATGGAACCAGGTACTTGCAACCTTCTCAGAGCACAAGCACACTGCTCTAATTACTAGGCAAACACTCCCACTTTTATCCTTGTACCTGTAGTTTTGTGTAAAGTGCCAACATATTCTCATTATCAGTTCGTATGAAATCGTACGAAAAGTTATGCAAAGTATTTCGTACGTTTTGGACGTTTTTCCTCGCAAAAAAAGATCAGTGCGCATGCGCAGGCAGGAAAAAAAGCTGATCTGCGGACGGACGTAAAACTGGGAAAAACAGTGCAATAATTACTTCTTGATGTCTCTAAATACGTTGCTTGCTGTTTTGTATCTTAGGGTTAGGGTTAGGGTCAAGGTTAGGGTTAATTCTATGTTAAATTCTATGTTATTCAATGGTGCGTAAGATGCGCATGCGCAAGGATATCTTGTCTCGAGGCAAGACGTAAAAATACAACGAAATACCACGAAAAAAATGTCCAAAACGTACGAAATTACGGTGCATAACTTTTCGTACGATTTCGTACGAACTGATAATGAGAATACACTGAAAGTGCAGTAAAAGAATGACTAATTTTAACTTTTTCAACTTGTGTATTATGTTCATTTCATTTTAGAAGAATACAGCACATTGCTTTGATATAAATATTCAGAGGTTTGCAATGCAAGAGAATGTTTGTTAAAATGTCCAGTAGTATAAATGCTCTTGCGGCACTGTACGTCCAAAAAAGGCCTCTTGTTAACTCCCCATAGCCCGTAACACTGTAATCTGAATTATTTCACACAGTGAGAAAACTCGAGGCAAATCTGACAAGATCTGTTTTAAACATTACATAATTTTCAATTCAAATCCTCCTTCCAAATGTTTATGCTCTATTACAATTAGTATAAAACAAAAAAACATACTCACGGGCCACTTTATTAGGTACCCCATGCTGGCAACGGGTTGGACCCCCTTTTGCCTTCAGAACTGCCTCAATTCTTGGTGGCATAGATTCAACAAGGTGCTGGAAGCATTCCTCAGGGAGTTTGGTCCATATTGACATGATGGCATCACACAGTTGCCGCAGATTTGTCGGCTGCGCATCCATGATGCGAATCTCCCGTTCCACCACATCCCAAAGATGCTCTATTGGATTGAGATCTGGTGACTGTGGAGGCCATTTGAGTCCAGTGAACTCATTGTCATGTTCAAGAAACCAGTCTGAGATGATTCCAGCTTTATGACATGGCGCATTATCCTGCTGAAAGTAGCCATCAGAAGTTGGGTACATTGTGGTCATAAAGGGATGGACATGGTCAGCAACAATACTCAGGTAGGCTGTGGCGTTGCAACGATGCTCAATTGGTACCAAGGGGCCCAAAGAGTGCCAAGAAAATATTCCCCACACCATGACACCACCATCACCAGACTGAACCGTTGATACAAGGCAGGATGGATCCATGCTTTCATGTTGTAGACGCCAAATTCTGACCCTACCATCCGAATGTCGCAGCAGAAATCGTGACTCATCAGACCAGGCAACGTTTTTCCAATCTTCTATTGTCCAATTTCGATGAACTTGTGCAAATTGTAGCCTCAGTTTCCTGTTCTTAGCTAAAAGGAGTGGCACCCGGTGTGTTCCTCTGCTTCTGTAGCCCATCTGCCTCAAAGTTCGACGTACTGTGCATTCAGAGATGCTCTTCTGCCCACCTTGGTTGTAACGGGTGGTTATTTGAGTCACTGTTGCCCTTCTATCAGCTCGAACCAGTCTGGCCATTCTCCTCTGACCTCTGGCATCAACAAGGCATTTCCGCCCAAAGAACTGCCGCTCACTGGATGTTTTTTCTTTTTCGGACCATTCTCTGTAAACCCTAGAGATGGTTGTGCGTGAAAATCCCAGTAGATCAGCAGTTTCTGAAATACTCAGACCAGCCCTTCTGGCACCAACAATCATGCCACGTTCAAAGTCACTCAAATCACCTTTCTTCCCCATACTGATGCTCGGTTTGAACTGCAGGAGATTGTTTTGACCATGTCTACATGCCTAAATGCACTGAGTTGCCGCCATGTGATTGGCTGCTTAGAAATTAAGTGTTAACGAGCAGTTGGACAGATGTACCTAATAAAGTGGCCGGTGAGTGTATATTTTCTAGTAAAAAAATGATTTTAGGCCAACATTTCAACAGCAGGCCCTTTTTTAAATAACGTTTCAGCCCCTTTGAGGGGCAGTCAGCTCATTTTGTTAAGCCTTTAAAAAACAACAATTTTAAAAGGCACATTTGATGATACTGTATTTGTGTCCATTGGAAAGTTGCTGCTTGCATTCTGCTGCTTTATGAAAAGTCAAGGACACAGAATGTGTCTTTTGACTCAGTAAATCCCTGATTGGCCTGCAGGTGCCTCAGGCTCTTCAATAGGTCAGTCCATTCAAATGCAGAAATAG